AATCTTATCTGTGTGTTTTTAGGCTAATTGTTGAAACATGATATATTTAAATGTTGACTTTTAAATCAAATTAACAAGTGAGATGATCCATGTTTCTCAAATAACACTGTGGGAAACTCAGTGGTGTCATCAGTTAGTTCCTCATTGAGCAGATCAGCTCCACTCTTCTAGACTGCAGCTGGTGGTCTTTACCACACTGGGGGCCTGACCAGCCTGCCTGTAGGGGAAACACAGGAAGGTCCACAGTTCGCTGGTCAGCAGTGACTCAGCTTTCAGAATAAGAGGGGATTGTATGGTGTTTAACCTGTTATATGTTGTCTCATAGTGATTCAGTAAATGCAAATTCCTGAGTACAGTCTAGTTTTGCAGAACATCGTTCCATGGAGTTTATCCCAGCATGAGGCGAAGTACATCCTACAGCCCTACTCCACTGGGTGCAAAACAATTTTATTAAAACAGTCATTTAAAAAAAACACGTTTAGTATTTGAAGGCCCAGAGTTTGTAACATGAGAAAGTTGGTAAGACCATTTCATTTTGATATTTTAAACAAAAACTATAATAAAATAACGAAGAAAAAAAACTATAATAAAAACAAACAGTTAAGTGTTTTTTAAATTTGGCTTGTATGACAGTCTCGTTAATAGTGACAGTTTTTTGTGTTTAAGAAATGAACTGATGGGGTGGGTGAGGTTGCTTTAGTTGGAGAGTGTACTGTGAGAGGATATAAACACTGGTATTAAATATGTATGTAATATTCAACTTTATGATCTAAACTTCCTCATATAAATCTACCTACTTATTTGAAAATATACAGATACACCCTATAAATTCAATCCTGGGCCACTTTATACTGCAGACGTGTGTTTGAGTCAAACCAGTCTTGCAACATCTGTTTTTTTTTTTCACTTCCTTGTTGTTCTCCTTGGTTCCTTATCTGTCATACTTTCTACTATATCTCATCCTTTTTTTCCGTTTTCTTCCCTCCAGTTTGTGGAGCACTGCAGGCCCCTCACAGAGGACTGCCCGGAGGTCTTGACCTTCCTCCAGACAAAGCACTCCAAGGCCTGCCCGGACTTCCTGTCATCAGTGGAGTTCAGGAACACTTTGGGACGATGTTTGACTCGCGCTCAGGCCACCCGCTCTAAAACATTTGTCTACATCAATGAACTGTGTACTGTGCTCAAGCAGCATGCCATCAAGAAGAGGCAAACCGTCTTCAAGGTTGACCCTGGGCCTTCTACCTCAACGTCGAGTGATCTTCAGTCTACCTCCGTCACGCTCAAAAGTACAAGAAAGAGTAAAGGTAACCTGGAGGAAGAGGAAGAAGGTGTGCAGCCGGCAGCAGATGAAGAGCAGCCCTCCACCTCAGGACAGCAAGAGAACAGAGAGGCAGACCGAGAAGAGGAGAGAAAAGCTAGAAGAGCCTCCAGGAAGCAGGTTAGTGTGGATTAGGTGCTGCTGTTGAATGAATCTTGGGATTATAATCAAAGTTTTATTTGTATACTATATATTATATATACAGTTTTATTTGTATACTATATATTATATATACAGTTTTATTTGCACAGCACAATTTGCCTCAGTGTTTTTAAAATGACTTCAATACAGTCATTTTAAAAGGAAAAAGAGAGTAAAGCAGATCAAAGCACACTGGTTAAGGCAGCCATTAAATATAAACTATTAAAAATATAAAATATCCCTCCTTTTTTATTTTTCAGCAACAATCAGGGTTTGACACTTTTGTAGGAAATCACCCCTGATCATTCATGTCTGTCCTGTGTGTTCCTCTCAGATAGCGTACCTGGAGAACCTGCTGAAGGTGTACAACGAGGAGATCTGCCGCCTGCAGCAGGCTGAGCTGAGTCTCACTGACATGGAAGCGGAGGACTCGTTATTCATCCAGGAGCACAAACTCAAACGCAAGGTCAGCCTCCGGTGTGGTGCAGCTCGGTGGCTTCCACTCTCTAATACAGACGTTAAAGCTGTAAAAAGTAAATGTTTACTACAGCCTGAGTGGCAGCTGCTCACACCTCCCTCACGTGTCCTCCTCCTTTTTTTCCAGATGATGAAGATTTATGAAAAACTGTGTGAACTAAAGGGCTGCAGCACACTAACAGGCCGAGCCATTGAACAGAGAATCACCTACAAAAGCACTCGTTACCCTGAGATCAACAGGAGGGTGAGCTGCACGTTGTTGGGGCTACTTTCTAACCCGAGGGGTGGATTAGGACGCATCTGCAACAGAGCCAGGCTTTTTTTGCATTATTATTGGATGCAATTATGACTATTGCATCCAATAGTCCCGGTATAACACAAAGTCACTAAGGCCTCCTCATGTAACAGCTCGTCTCCCATAATCTGCTCCATACTTTAAACTATGCTGGGAGATGAAGCAAACCTTATGATTGCATGTGTGGATGTGACATCATGGAGAAGCTGGACTGCCTGTGCAGCCTGAAGGTGCTGCTTCAAGCTGCCACCAGTGACAAAAAGCAAAACTAGAGAAAAGTCATTAAGGATGAGGAGACGGTCTGTGGCACCACGTCCTAAACCCTCACATCTCAGTGAGCGTGTTCAGCAGTTTTATTTATACAGCGCCAAATCACAAACAGCCCTAACAACCCTAACAATCATACGACCCACTGAGCAAGTGCTTTGGAGACAGTGGGATGAATGCTATAACTCAAGAATGCAGTGACGTAGGATTTTAACATTTTTATAATAGGTGAAGTTAATAGGAGGCTGAGTGGGAGCTCTGATGGCCGTTAGTATTTTTCCGATTGCCTGAAAAGACGCCTCTCCAGTCCTCCGGTTGACACTTTCATTTGAAATGAAGCAGTTGAAATGGATTCACATCTGGACTGATTGATATTCCTTAATTTAAATGACTTGATCTTACACTGCAGTGATTCAGTGTTCCCTTCATTTTTTGAACATTTGTTGTTCTGCTCTGTGTGCTCTCAGGACTGCTGTTTATTTTGAGCTCTTCTGAACTCTGTAGCATTTAAACTTGATTCTAATTCAGGTCTGATGCTGTCGTATAATCTAATGAAACATTTGGGTTACATTTTAGTTCGTGACTAATTCAGATTTACTGATAAAATATTCTTGGTTAAACTGATAAGGTTTCTAATTTAACATTAACTGTGAGCATCAGTGTAAAAGAGATTAGGCCACAGATTATTGGTTTCTTGCTGCTATTAATGGTTTCTGTCTGAGGTTTCCAAACTATTTGCAGTTCTTTATAAAACACAAACTGGCAGAAACACACAGCGATCACATAGAAGAGATTTGTATCTGATTATTTAATTTCACGGAGCTATATTTTCATTCGAGTTTTGTCCTCTGTGTTCCTCCCTTTGTCAGATCGAGCGTTTCATCAACAGTCCCGAGGTACGACACAACCCTCCTGATTACCAGGACATCCTCCAGGAGGTGTTGCGTGCCAACGATCGCCACAACCTCTGCTTGACCAGGAAGCATATAAATCAGATCGCCCAGGAGGCGTTCAGAGAGACCGGGAGCCGCATACAGGACCGCCGTCACCTGGACCTCGTCTACAACTTTGGCTCTAGCCTCACCGACGCCTATAAACCTGGTAAGATAATAAAGAGAAATGCTGCTGCTCGTGCGGGGCTTCACTGTCTGACTGCTCACTGAAGTGTTTCTACTCAGACACAGGCCACAAATTTGAGCGTTGATTTGAATTAAAATATGAATATTTGTTCATTAATTTACTTTAAAGTTTGCTCCACACTTTCAATTTCTCACTGCTGACATTTCTGCTTTCATTTAACGTTGTGACAGTTTTTATATTGTTTTTGATGTTTAAAAAAAATTAATAAAATGTATTTTATTAATTATCTCTGTGGTCGTCCTTTCATACGTGTTTAGAAGGACTAGCACTAACTCACAGACTTTTTCCATTCGTCTTCTTTATTTCTTTTTCCACATCTTATCTAAATAGTAGAAAACACCTGGAATATCATTCATGATGTAACTGCTCATCCTCTTGTCTCTCCACCTCTTTAGCCACAGACCCGGCTCTGAAGGACCCCTCACTGCTGAAGAAACTGCGGTCGAACCGAGAAGTCGCTCTAACTAGCCTGGAGGAGGTCATCAAGAAGTACGCTGTGAAACAGGACGACACGGAGGAGAAGGAGAGGAACAAACGACTGCAGAAAGACAGGAAGGACAAAGAGGTAACA